CCCCCCCGCACACACACACACCATGATGCATAAAACTTTCTTTGGATGCTTTCACATAGATTGGGGGAGGCATAACTCAGTTTGAAATTAACATAGGAGGGTGGCTGTCCAGGACAGCCAGGCGCTTCTCTTTCCCCGTCCAGCCTATTTCATTTGTGATTATTGTGGTTAGTACTGGTATTACCATACTTACCTATTAAACCCTAGACATAGTTGGAAAGAAATCTAAAGTTGGTACTTTAATACAGGCGGAGGGAAAGGATATGGCTGCACTGATGAAGAAAAGAATAAAGGACTCTCTAAATCAAGCAGCTATTATTAACAAGATGGACAGCATTACATTTACACTAGTTGAGGTTATTTGATAAATACCATTTCCAAAGGTGTCTTAAAACCTCTGAAATTAGATACTTGCTCAAACTTAGTTTAAAACTACTTAATTCAGAAGATGACAGACAGATACACACACACACAATCTTGCTGTGGTGTTAGAGGCTTTAATATCAATCTCTGTGGGAAGTTTAAGCGGATACCCAGGCGTTTGTCTGATCCCATCAACTGAATGTCATAGTTTTTTAGCCCTGAAGCCAATGTACCAAAATACAAAACTGTCATATAGTCATGATGAATCCATTCTCCGCTACCTTTTCCGCTGTGCTGATTTCAGATTCCTTCTCCCACTTTTCTTTGGCAGCCTTCAGGTGATTTTTGTACTCCTCAAGATCCGTAAGTTCTTGCAGCCACAACGCGCGAGCTTTCGTCAGTGCTAATTCCACCTACAAATAGAAAGCCAAGGTCAAGAAGCCATTTGCGCAAGAAAAAAAGCGAAAGAAAAGAAAAATTAAATTTCAGGTAGCTCTCAACTTCCAACTTACAACTGAGCCCAACGTTTCCGTTGCTAAGTGAGAGGTTTGTTAAGTCACTTTTGCCCCAATTTATGACCTGTCTTGCCACAGTTGTTAAGCAGATCACTGTGGTTTTCTTAAGTTAGGGATACGATTGTTAAGTGAACCTGGCTTCCCCACTGACTCTGCTCCTCAGAAAGTCGCAAAAAGGGGATCCACTTCAACCGTCATAAATATGAACCGGTTGCCAAGCATCCCAATTGACAATAGGGATGTTGCGATGGTCGCAAATGTGAAAAACAGTCCTAAGCCACCTTTTTTCAGGGCTGTTGTAACTTCGAGTGGTCGCTCAACGAACTGTTGTAACTTGAGGATTACCTACAATGCCCATGCAGTCTTGTTGTTTTGATTGAGATAGTTAATAACAAACCCCAAGGGATTTTTGGGGCCCAGGCTTGCAGTAACAAATCTTAAAGGCTTGGAGAACAGAATTGCAACAAATGCACTACTTTGCTCGACAACCCTTGTTTAGCAATGGAAATTCAGGTCACAATTAGTCAAGGGTGACCTTCATCATTTTTTTAGACTTAGTCCTAAGGCAATTAGTACTGCCAGCTACTTCCGCTGACTGCTGTCTGCCAGCAGTTCGATTCTGACCGGCTCAAGGTTCATTCATCCTTCCGAGGTTGGTAAAAGAGGACCCAGATTGTTGGGGGCAATATGTTGACCGTGTAAACCGCTTAGAGAGGGTTGTAAAGCACCGTGAAGCAGTATATAAGTCTAAGCGCTATTGCTATTGGCTTCATACAACACGGATTTACTCTGTGCATGTTTTGGTTTTATCGGGAACCCCATAAAAATAAAAGCCGCACGTCTGCCTGTCACCTGAGTGGCAATGCTCTCGTGATAGTTCGCTTCATGCTCCCTCAACGACTTTTCCTTTGCTTTCAGAGCCTCCCGAAACAATGCCGTCTGCTCCTCTACCGCCTCTGCAACCAGTTGGCGCAGGGTTTCCTCCGTCTGGCTACCGTGATCTTTGAGTTCCACCGCGGCTCTCTTGGTCTCTTCCAAAGCCTGGGCCAGTCGTTGTTGCCATTTTTTTTCAACTTCCTGACAAGCCTGCTCTTGGGCCTGTAGGAAACAGAAGACTGTGCTAAACAAAAGATAAATTTCGTACGGAAAATCTTTGGGGAAGGGGGAAAAAAAAACCTAAATAAAACAAGAAGGGTTGGCTTTTGTTTTGTTTTTTCCTAGTAAGCAGAAGGAATAGGAGCTGGATGTTGAACTTGCACAGAGAAAGGATTGAGATGTTTTTCAGAGAATACTTGCAAAAAATTAAATGAGGGCTCCTTGGTGCTGTCTGAGCTTGCCTGTTTTCTTACAGACATTTCATTAACCTAACTAGGTAACACCATCAGTGCTAGTAAAAAAAAATTAAGTATCAAAGATCCCCAGGTTTCCTTAAAAACAAAAGGATACCCATTTTATATTAGAAGAAGCTGAGTTATCTGTGCCACTGAAAAAGTGATTCCTGCTATGCTTTTAAAACACAGGAATAAGCTCTTCAAGAGGAGCGATGCGGGGCCTAGAGGTGGAGCTCTTGCCTCCCAATCAGGAGGCTGTCGGTTCGATCTTAGGTAGAGGCAGATATTTTCTCTCTCTGGGCACAATGAGAATATATCTGCCGAAAAAAACTCTGCCTTGGTGACAGGAAGGGCATCCGGCCCGTAAACACTCTGCTAGCTCCATTCAGCTGCCCAGATTCCACCTCACAAGGGATTATGGGGTTGTTAAAAGAAGATGAATAAGCTCTTCAAGATCCAGGTGAATTTCTTCACAACCCCACCCACCCAGTCTCTGTGAAACTACACTGGAGGCTCTCATTTGGGGAGAGTAGAAACCCCAGCACACCTCTTTCTGTTCTTTTTCCCAAATGTTTTTGGCAAGTTCCACTTCACTATCAATACGCTGCTTTATGTCGGCTTCTTTTTCCTTCTGCCACTGGTCCTTGGTAAGTTCCATGGAATTCTTATAGGTTTCTTCTAGTTCGTTCCTTAGTCTGATCAAAGAATCCTCTTTTTCCACCAGTAACTGTTAACATTAAGAGTAGAAGTTAGGGCATCATTCACGTAAGAGGTTGAGTTGATTAAAGAGGTGAAATGTGAAGACAGTTCCCCTTATTGCACAAATTTCTTATTGCATATGTTAACATACTACCTCTTACTCAAAAGCATTTCTTTAACCTATTGAAATGGGATGTATAGGAGCAGTAGAGGGATGTATGACTGCGCTAGGAGACCTGGTGGTGCAGTGGTTAGAATCCAGTATTGCAGGCTAACTCTGCCTACAGCCTGGCATTCGATCCCGACTGGCTCAAGGTTGACTCAGCCTTCCAGCCTTCCGAGGTCAATAATTGCAATAGCAATAGCATGTAGACTTATATACTGCTTCACAGTGCTTTAAAGCCCACTCTAAGTGGTTTACAGAGTCAACCTATTGTCCCCAACAATCTGGGTCCTCGTTTGACTGACCTCGGAAGGATTTATGGAAGGCCGAATCAACCTTGAGTTGGTCAGAATCAAACTGCTGGCAGTGGGCAGAATTAGCCTGCAATACTGCATTCTAACCAGTGTGCCACCAAGGTGTAATCATACATCCCACTAACTGGGGAGAGGTTGAGATGGTTCAGGACTATCGTTTAGTCCTGCTACTTTGCAACCGTTGCCTCCGCGATAAACTGAGGCCAGTTGGGCCTCTTACCTTTTCCTCCCTCTGCTGCTGCTCTCGTTCAAATGCTGATTTCAGAAGAGCAGCCTGCTCATCTTTCTCCTTGCAGACGGCGAGGTAACATTCTTTCACTACAATCATCTCTTTGTTCAGGTCATCAATGTCCAACCTAGAGAAGAAAAAACACGTGACTTGGAAGAAGCCGTCGTCAGGTCAAGAAACCTACATGAAGGATAACCTTATCTCACATGTTTCAGTTTCACTACTCAAACCAATTCATACTTTAACTGAGCAATGTTCTCTTCGTATGCGTGGATGAGTTTTTCTTTCTCTGCGGCATGTTTTCCTGCCGTCTCCTCCAGAAGCTTTTTCTTCGTGTCTTCATAATGTTGCCTATAGGTTCTTTCACACCTGGAGGAGGAAAAGGGAAAACCTTAATTTATTGCTTGGAAGAAAAATTGTAAGTCCAGGGCCTAGGACAGTATAAATGAAGCTTCACCGGCTATATCCATCCAAATTTTGAAGAACGCAGTACATAAAAGGTAAGTATATTCTGATAAAGACACTGTTGTCCAGTTCTCCAGAAGAGTTTCTGCTTTACCAGTTCTCAGAAAACAATTTGATGGCACCAATCTAGTTTCCAGGGGAAACAATTATACAAGACACCAGGGTTATGACACACAAACAATGGCTGTAACTCCATTTCCCATTAATTGAAGGACCAGGGGGAGTCACGAGAGTTTCTTTCAGGAAAACCACAGTGGATGGGTTCGTTCCAGCTGAGATGGAAGCCCAGCAAGCATCTTGGTTCCAAGCCTCAGGGGGCCTTGTAGGCACTTTGAATTTGCACCCAGGAACACCTGCTGGCAAACACTGCAGAAGCTGTGGCACAATCTCAAGTGATTACAACAACCTTTCCATTCCAGTGTTTGAGGGGCGACCACAAAGAAGAGGGGTCAACTTATTTTCCAAAGCACCAGAAGGCAAGACAAGAAAAAAAAATGGGTGGAAACTAATCAAGGAGAAGCTGGAATTAAAGAAAACTCTTCCCAACAGTGAGAACAATTAACCAGAGGAACAGCCTTCCTCCAGAAGTTGTAGGTGCTTCATCACTGGAGGTTTTTTAAAGAAAAGGCTAGATAGCTACCCGTCTGAAATGGTACGGGGGTCTCTTCTAGCTCTATTCTGATTACCCTTGGAGCCAGCAAACCAAAAGGAGTTCTCACGCACAAGGAGACAACTGTTATGCCTGTCGCCAATGGACCTCACCCATGAAGAGTTTTTAGTGAATCTAAACCACTGTGTACAACAGCCGCAACAGCAGGGGTGGGATTCTACCAGTTCAGACCAGTTCTATAGAACCAGTTGTTATGATTCTGCGTAGTTCGAAGAACCGGCAAATTGTGCCCTGGCTGGCCCCGCCCCTCCACGCCCAGTCAGTTCTTATCGCGCATGCGCAACATTGCTGACTGCATTCTCCCCCCCCCCCCCCCTCACTCCTTAAGTTATTTATTTTTTTCCCTTCCCAACGATCAGCTGTTCCGATGGCTCAGCTGTGCCAGGATCCCCCTCGCTGTCTTATTGCTTCACACAGGCGGCTTCCCTGAGGCCCAGGGGGCAAAAAGGGGTGCGCAGGGGAGTGCTGTGTGCCCACCCACCCACGCTCCATTTTGGCCTCCTAGGCCTCGGGGAAGCCTCCGGGGGGGGGGGGGGGTTTTTGCTCCCAGGAGGCTTCCCTGAGGCCCAGGAAGGCCAAAAACGGAGCGCGGAGGAGGGTGCTGCAAAAAAAAAGAAGCCATGCCCACCCAGTCACATGACCACTCCTATTTAGCCACTCCCACCTAGCTACGCCCACAGAACCGGTAGTAAAAATATTTGCATCCCACCCCTGCTCTGCTGGTATTCTAGGCATAAAACTAGCCTTCCATTAAGTACTTGGTTAGGATCTGAGACATCTCATGGACATCTCCTGGGACTGTCAACCATAAAACCTGATCTAAAGGAAGCTGGACGGAAAACTTACCCCTGTTTATATCTTCTGGAGGAGACACCTAGTAAATGCTACCAATACAGATAAACCTTAAGCCACAAAGACCATCATTATTTACATTATTTCCTCCATGTAGAAAAACAGAAGGTAGTTTAAGATCAATAAAGACCACTCTGTGTTTACTTCCACTTTCCCTCCCAAGTCACCTGTCGAGGGCTTCTTGTTTATCCCGATCAGAGTCTTGGATCATCTGCCTCATTTGACTGCACAGATCTTGGTTTGCATTTTTCAGATGCTCCTTGCCTTCCAGAAGTTCCTGAATACGTGCATTATGACTCTGACGAAAGAGAAATAGCATTAAACTTGACCTGATATTTTATTTCTTTAAAACATATTTCCAGGCTGCTGCAATCAAGATTGCTTTTGGCAGCACGCAGGATGTTAATATGGCATTGCACTCTCAAAATATTAATCTTTCTGGCTTTAAGAATTACATATTATGAACAACATTATCAGACCCTTGAGACGGGACAGAAAAATTCATAAGATTCCTATCTAGGCCATAGATGCAAAAAAGAATTACAAGGAAGAAAGTAAGCAGTTGTAAAAAAAAAAAAATTTCTCTCTGGGGAGTCTGTAAAATGCCTCTTAACACAAATCATTATTCATTCTTAGGTGTGTTGCATAAAAACGGCCCTCCTCAACATCAGAGATAGCTCATGTTTTTTAAAAATTTGTTAGAAATAAAAGGTGCTTCAGACTCCTGGTTTTTTTGTTTTTTTTTGCTACCATCAACTAACATGGTTCTCTAATGCAAATCAAGTTGTGATTTTCCAAGTTGTAGCCCCCAATGAATCGGGATGTTAATTCTGTGGGTTTCCAGCCATGTATCTACCTAATGTTTGGTGGAACTTCAGCTTGGTTAAGGACTTTCCAAAGCACTTGAAGGCAGGACAAGAAGCAGTGGGTGGAAACTAATCAAGGAGAGAAGCAACTTAGAACTAAGGAGAAATTTCCTGACAGTTAGAACAATTCATCAGTGGAACAGCTTGACTCCAGAGGTTGTAAATGCTCCAACACTGGGAGTTTTTAAGATGATGTTGGACAACCATTTGTCTGAAGTAGTGTAGGGTTTCCTGCCTAAGCAGGTGGTTAGACTAGAAGACCTCCAAGGTCCCTTCCATCTCTGTTATTCTATTGGTTTTCCAAGGACTGTTATGGATGCCTTTCTACAAACAGGCATTTCTGTGAAGATGTCACGTGTTTGATGGTCCATCTGCTGTTCTTTAGCTTATAGAAAATTAATTAACCTCAAACAGACTTGTCTGATTTTAAAAGACAAATCCTCTCATTTCATCTCCCCCCACCCCAAATTGGATCACAGCATGGGAATATTTATTTATTTATTGAATTTATATTGCCGCCTATTTACCCATGGAGACTTAAGGCGGCTTACAGAATATAAAACCACACTTAAAACAACAGAACTAACAAAAAGAATCAAATAAATTAATATAGTACAATATAACAAAATCACACTTCACATCCCACCCCTCACCCCAGCGGTTCACATGAGCCATTTAATGGGCTCCATCCCGCTCTGATTGGATAATATCTTATCCAATCAGACACTAACTTCATCCTGAGACATGAAAAAAAAAGTACCTCAATCTCCTCTTGCAATTCCTGGTTTTTCTTTTTGAGCCTCAGCATCTCCTCGGAGGAACGACACTCTGTGGAATCAGATGGACTCTCCATGTTTTTCCCTTTGGCCTAATATGAAGTAGAAGTTCAGAGAATACTTGTTAGTTCTTAGTTGTAATCGCTGCCTCATCAAAAGGCATTTTGTACAACCAAGAACCTATCTTAAAAATGTATACCGTCCCACTCCAATTTGTAGGAGAAGGTAAAGATAAGATAGCATTAGGCTGTGTTACACATTAGGTTTGTTTCTGTTTGGTGTTCAATGGAACAAGGCAAGGTTAATAGAGGACAATGCAATATTACAATGCAATTGTATGTCTTGCTTTCTGAGAATAATCTACTCCAACTTTCTGTCCTATCTCTGTTGCAACAGAGAAAGGAACAATAAAAACACAGCAAAGGTAGACTTTGTTTTTGTTTTGTTTTTTTGTCTTTTAATGACCCCATCAGGGTGGAGCCCGGAACAACTGAATGGAGCTGAATGGTTACTGGTCGGATGCCCTTCCTATCGCCAATAGTGTTCATAGCAGATATATTCTCTTTGTGCCCAGAGAAAGAAATATCTGCCTCTACCTAGGATTGAACTCACAGCCTCCTGATTGTGAGGCGAGAGCTCCACCTCTAGGCCACTGCACCACTCAGCAATAGGTAGACAATGTTTACTACATTGCTCTCCAGATCCAAAAGTGCCCCAATGGTACAACAGACAAACAAGGATCTCTAAAGCTGAGTTGTTTCACCTCTAGGCTCAATATGCCTTTACATCATGGCCAGTTTGGACCACAGTGGGCATTCAAGTGTAGTCAGCCATATCATACACTAGCCGACTAGGCCAGCCATCCAAACCACCACACTAAATAACTCTGTTATTTAAGTAAGGATATCACATACAGATAGGGGAGTGCAGGTTAGAATGCTGGGCTGATGATCGGCAGGCTTGCGTTCGAAATCCGTTGCTGCCACAGGGTGGGCGAGCACCCTTCACAGGCTCCCGCTCCTGCTGACTCAGCAGTTCGAAATCAGGTGACCGTGAGGATAAATGGGTACCACTTTGGTGGGCAACTTCACGGGGACGCAAAAGGGGACCCCAACTGGGCATTCCCCCCCCCCCAGCAATGGAGATGTTAGCAGCAAATCCTTTCACCACAGAAGCACTTTGGTGCTCCCGACATGGAAGTATTAGTATCACGTACAGATCATAACTACCCCAAGAAGGCATCTTTGCCAAGGATGAAGAATTTCAAGGAATGTTTTAATGGGATGCCTGAAACGTCCTCTAACTTTCAAAACACATTTCTCAAGGGGAAAAAAAAGAACGTTTATTGCTTATGTGATCAGTGGAATGTTTGCTACTTCAATTATATCTTTCTAATCCCTTGTCATCGTTCTTTTTCTTCCTACAGCTATCCAAATTCTCTACTGCAAGGCTGCTTTCTCTCAGAGAGCTTTCTGAGTAAAAACTGTCTCCGTCCATCAGATTTCTGGCAGGGGGTGCTTATAAAACAAACAATTACTTACAAATTCATTTTTTTTGTCAGCAAACAAAACATCAATTTTGTTTCATCACTGATGTTTCTGGGGTCTTTTACTCAGATGTTAGAAACCTGTGGCTTAACTGAAATTCTCAGCAGTCTCATTCAGCAAAGCCAACAATGGGAGCTTTCTGGAGTTTGAAAGTCAGCAACATCTGGAAAACTTCAGGTTCTCTACAGTAATCGTTTCTTCAGGGATTTCTGCAACAGCAATTTATTCCGCTAACAGCCAACATCCTGTCCTCCAAATATTAATTCACAATTCACTGCAATATTTCTTATGTATTCCTTATCAAAACAAGTTGTCCACCCAATGCATTCCGAAGTTGTGGTGAAACTTGTATTTTGATCAAAGCTACCCCTGGGGAAAACTTAAGACAAGGTCAAGACTGAGCTATGCAACTGTAGAAACGAGAGAAAAATGATTAGGTTGAATAAATTAGAAATATTATCTGATCTGGCTAGTAAAAGAACAACTTCTAGTAATTCCGATTCACTACCATCACTGCATTTTGTCCAATAAATAAAAACCCAGAGTTAAAGGGTTAACTTCTTAATGTCTACATGAAATAGACAGAACAGGTAATCTTCATTACGGTCACTGCTTTCATAAAATAGAAAATTATATTCATATCAAAGTTATTGGCATACAAAATAAGTAACACCTCTCACATACGTTTGATTTTACCAGCTGCTGCTTCAGTTCTTGTATAGTCTTATGACAATCTTCAAGGTCATTTTGCAGGCGAGAAACACGGCTCCTCTTTGCTTTGTTACTGCTCAATATCCTCTCCATTTCAACCTTCAGCTCTAAAATTATTTCATCTTTAGAAAGTCCTTTGTCTGTTTCTTTATTCAATGAACAACTGTCAAATATTAAAGATAAGAGAGGTGAGGATATAGATATTAGATATTCTGAACTGCATAACATTACTTTCTAAGGTTGCACATAAGCTACCCCAAATTAAATTTCTATTGTTATAATTTGCTTTTCAGCCACACTGAACTCTAACTGCATTTAGACAACGCATTCATCCACTGCAAAAAAAATTACAGTGGTCTGGCTCTCTGATACCAATAATTGTTTCATCTGCTGTGTGAATCTAGCTATTGTAGTTTATTTAAATAAATTTAAAAAGCCAAAGCAGCAATGTCTTAACATGACATGTAGATCAGGTCATAACGGGCTTGTTTAATTTTCATTTGTGTGAATCCGAACAATTATGGTTGAACAAACCATGGTTAAGCATGAAGATGGGGGCAGTTATGTCTTATTTTGATCTAGAACTATTCTTAAATTAAAAGATAAAGGTTTCCTTGTCAATCATGTCTGGCTCTCCGTTTCTTGGCTGAGATAACCAGCATTCTCCAAAGACATTTTCCGTGCTCATGTGGCCAGCATGGCTATATGCCAAAGGTGCACGGAATGCTGTTACTTTCCCACCAAAGTGATACCTATTAATCTACTTGCCTTTGCATGCTTTCAAATTGCTAGGTGGGCAGGAGCTGGGGCAAGGGACAGGAACTCATCCCGTCGCATGGAGCTTGGGTCTTGAACCCAGGCTGACAGCTCTCCAAATTATTGTGTTAAGTCATTCCATAGTGCTTAGAAGAAGTTTCGAAAGGTAGCTTTTTTTAAAGAAGAAGTTTCAAAAGGTAGCTTTTTTTTTTTTAAACCAACACCTGAAGTGGCAGGCTGCTAAGGGTTTAAAAGAATACAGCATTCCAAAGCTATACTATAAAGAGAATATGCGTATCAAAATGTCTCCCATTTTGTTTCTTGAAGGAGAGTCCAAAGAATGTAAAATTATTTTAGCCCGAGGGGGACATTGTACATTATTTGCAAATACAACAATTGGAAGAAGCTGAGAAAATGGAGAAATTTCCCATGAAAGTTCCTTAATGCCTATATTGTTTTAAATGACAAAGGCATTAATCTGTAATTACCTCTGTAATCTTGTCTTCTTGTTGATTTGCTTAATGCCCAAATCTACGTATGAATCTGTTAATTCCACATTCAGATTTCCACCTGGATCGTTGAGAAACACACCATGTTTTGCGGCTGATTCATATAGAACAATTTCTTCTTTTAGTTCTTTTATCTCTTCCTATAAATAGGGATATTTAGTCAGGTAAACTGGAAATAAACTCAATGTCATTTTGAGCACTCTGGAATAAAATAATCATCCATAGAGTTATATTCTCCAATGGAGGCATCTCTTATGTAGCACTTTTAATTTTATACTGATCCACATCAATTCATTCCTACAATATTTAAGAAAAGAAAAAATATGAACCTGAAGAGCTTTATTCATTTCACTGCCTAATAACTGTGCAGAGTGAGCTTGTTGAAGTTGCAGACGTAATTGATTTGTCTCCGTTACTAAGCCTGGAAGGAATAAGAATGAATTTATGAATGTAAGCTAAAAATGTTTAAGAGAAAAAGATACAAACTCAAGTGAAAAAGTCCATTTTCACTAATTTAAACCATGCTCTAGGTTCCTCTGTTATAACAAATACAAGGCAAGTATAGAGATATTGTAGTTATATGGTGGAAAGAGAATCACATTGGAACTCTTGGAACTGTGTAATTTCATTATCTCCTATATTAAAACTAAAATAATGACAGAGAAGTCAAGTATATTTGCTTTTCTTCAGTACACCTGAAGTTAAACGAACTGTAAAGCTGCTAGGCAAGGCTGCCTTAATAGAATGGAGGATGAGAAATAAAGGAAGATGATGTCTAAATATACATTTCCACCTTAAATATCCTTTGGAAAAGCAATGCATGCTCCTTCTTAGCCAGCAGGATTTTTAAAAAAAATCTGGATTTGGTAGGGAATGGGGTATTTGAGTACCATTCTGTGAAATTCATCACTGCTTATTCACTTTATTATGCAAAACTAATTTCAGATGAAGTTTGAGATTGCAACTTCCCTTCTTCCCTTTCTAACACAAGGCTTCTAGCTGCATTAGATTTTCAGCTGATGCTATTAGAATTTCATTTTAAGCCAGAGGTGGAGAATTATGGCTCTTTTATAATTGGTGGACTGCAACTCCCAGAATTCCTGAACTCAAAAATTCTGGGAGTTGAAGTCCATAAGTCATAAAAGGATCACAGTTCCCCATTCCTGTTTCAAGCAAGCACACACAAAAGTGAAATGCTGCGTTGGACATGTTAGTCATCTAAGAAAATTTAAGAATTGAGATTAAACTAAACTTTCAATGATGACTACTGCAAAGATGACTATTTCAATATAGGTAAGGATGTGTTTAAAAAAAAAAAAAAAAGAACACACCTGTTTGTAATAAATTTGCACACTGGTTTTGGCTTTCTTCTAGACTTCTTGAAAGACGATTTATTATTTCGTTTTTTTCTAATTTACTTCCTTCAAGAGTTCTTTCAAGCTGTTTCACGTGCTCCTTTAGATGGCAACAAATTTCTATCTGATAAAAGATATATAAGTATAAGCCTTCATATATTTCACTTACGCATTCATCCAATAAAACTTTGCTATTCATCTTTACTTCCATAATGTTTATATATGACTACTAGCAAAAATTTTGTTGCATTGATGTCTATTTTTCTGTTTCTGTATTTTTCTGAACTCTACTTAGAAAAGCTACGTAACCCTAGAGAAAACATTCAGATCCCAAGTGACTAATAATCGGGTATATATAAAAATACATGTACTGTCTATATTTATAAAATATGTTTAAATTAGTACAAAAACAGGGAGCCAAAGATTTTGAGGACTTTTTTTCAGTCTTTAAAATAAAGAGGCAAAGACATTCACTCTGATATTTGCTCTTATTTTACTCCTGCTCATTCTGAGATAAAGCATAATACAGGTAGTCCTTGACTTATGACCACAACAGAGTCCAAAATTTCTGTTGCTAAGTGAGACAGTTATTAAGTGAGTTTTGCTCTATTTTACAGCCTTTCTTGCCACAGTTGTTGTTAAGTGAATCACTGCAGTTGTTAAGTTAGTAACCCGGTTAAGTGAATCCACCTTCACCATTGACTTGGCTTGTCAGAAAGTCGCAAAAGGGGATCATGTGATCCCAGGACACTGCAAGCGTCGTAAGTATGAGCCAGTTGCTAAGTGTCTGAATTCTGATCATGTGACCATGGGGAAACGCCCATAAGTCCCTTTTTTCATTGCCATGGTTCTATCACTAAATGAATTGTTGTAAGTCAAAGACAACGTGAATTACCAAATGAAGATTCAGGGCTAGGAAGGCTTATTGAGCAGAGAAAAACCACGTTTCGTAATGTGGATGCCTTATGAGAGTGTTTTTCATCTTGTGAGGAAGAAACCTGACCTGCTCCTGGAGGGATGCATTCTTCACATCAAGTTTCTGTTGCAGAGATGAAGTCTGCTCTTCCAGTTTCTGCTTGAGTGCGGCAACGATGGCCTCGTGTTGCTCCCTCGCGCGCTGAAGAGCATCACCACGGCGAAGTTCCAAGAGCTGCTGCTGCATACTTTCCATGGCAACTTCTGCAACTTTGGATTGTTTGATCAGCTGCAAACAAAATAAAGCAACAGCACATAGATTCCATGGTGCTTTACGTGTCTCTCTAAACAGTTTACAGCAGGGGTGTCCAACCTTGGCAACTTTAAGCCTGGAGGACTTCAACTTCCAGAATTCCCCAGCCAGCTTTCCTCCAGGCTTAAAGTTGCCAAGGTTGGACACCCCTGGTTTACAGAGTCGGCAAGTTGCCCCAAACAATCTGGGTCCTCATTTGACCGAACTTGGAAGGAGGGAAGGCTGAGTCAACCTTGAGCTTGGTTGAGAACCGAACTGGCCTGCAATATTGCATTCTCACCACCATGGCTCATCAAGATATGGGATTTAATTCAAAATGGAAACCTGGGTGCCTTTAAAACAGGGGTCCCCAAACTTGGCAACTTTAAGACTTGTGGACTTCAACTCTCAGAATTCTCCAGCCAGCTAAGTCCACAAGTCTTAAAGTTGCCAAGTTTCGAGACCTCTGCTTTAACATAATATAAGCAAACTCTCGATGTGCAATCAGTATAAAGGTTATATTACGAGAACTACACTGTGATAAATACATTAGTGACAAATCTCTTTTCCAGCATGCTGTGAAACCCGATGCAAGGGAAAAACCATTTCTAACAACATGGCCTCACACAGTATGGTAACTTTGAATGGTTGTTAAACAAAACGTTCAGTAAGCGAGGGGGCATCTGTATTATCTTTACTCTAATATGGCTGTAGGTCAAGCATTGGTGGGGGAGAAATGTACTCAACTATATTGCCGCAACTTCAAAGTTTGAGTATGATTAAACTCACCTGTCATATATATTACGGTTTAAGCATGGTTTGCTGCCTGGGCAAGACTCCAAGCTATAAATAATGGTTTACTAACCACAATAGTTATATTCCTATTACGTGCTGAGCCAAAATCAATAACAACATAATAACTTAACTCAATACATGTTGTTTTCCAATTTCCAATAATTTCATCTCCATGTTCAGCTTTTCAGAAGACAGAATGTACTCTTTGGTTTGCTTGAGGAATGATGCTCTGCACCTACTATTTTTGAGCGTTTACTGTCTCATGTACCCCCCCAAAATGAATTATTTAACAAGCAGTTTCAAAACCCTTACGTGATCATACATATTAGCCTACCTGCTCCTCGTTAGCTGTCAGAGTCTGGATTTGGCTTTCGAAAGCTTTTATTTGGCCTTCAAGTTGAACTTCCCTTTCCTTGCTATTTTGGTAGAGTTTCTGACTTTCTTGGAGGCTAAGATACATGCCATCCTTTTCATCTTTAAAGAAGAAGAAAAAACATTTACATCACTGTTCAGTTACTTTTTAACATTTGCAACATACCCTTTTCAAGGGGGGGGGGGACCCCTGAAATAGAAGACTATATGTGTGGGGGGTGGGGGCACATAAACATAGCACCTATTTCAAAATTCTGACATTTTAATCTCAAATTTATGGCATTTTAGAAAATGTTATCAAAATAGTTAGTGAATGAAGTTGGAAGAAATGCTCCACATATACCCAAAGCTAGCATCTTTAATCTGGAAAAGATATCAGTCCTCAAGCAAGCAAGCACCTTCAAGATTTAGTTTAGGAGGCAGTTTCCCCAAATTACCAGAGATTACTGATGTGGATCATACAAAGCGGCACATTCAATCATTGGGGTGGGATGGGGTATCCTGTTATGTATTGTTTTTGAAAAAAAACACCAACTGTGCAACCGCTTGTCTTAAATTTAGCATAAGCAGGAAGAAAGGCTTACTTTTTTCTCTCAAGAGCTGTTACATTCCAAACATTGTTTCTCATCAGTCAACAACAAGGAAACTTAAGTGGCTTTAAATTAATAAACGCAGTTAACAAGTGGGTTTAATTTTAACAAAATAAGTGGAAAGAAATGAGAAACATCCTCCATCAGTTCTGGGTTAGGGTCCCCTGCTTGACCAGCGGGGTGGATTAGAAACCTCCAAGGTCCCTTCCAACTGTTGTTCTGTTATTACTTCATATAACAGAAGCTGACCTGGCCCAAGCATACTTCTGCAGTCTCATCTTTGGGGCATATTTACCTTTCATAATTGCAAGCTGATGGGACAGGTACCTAATCTGCTGTGCTCTTTCTTCCAGCTGGTTATTAAGTTCTCCTAAAGTTCTTTCTTTTGCTTTATTCAGAACCTGCAGCTGAAGAATCTGCATGTTGTCTGAAGAACCTGCAACTCACATTAAGTTTCCCGCACGTCAGGCATAAAATATACAGGGTTTTCTCAACCAAATGCATAATTCAATAAAATCCCCGAGGGCAAGAATTTCTTGGCAGAAGTACGTAAGTTTTGTTGGACAAACTTTGCTAGATACTTTTTAAATTATGTACTTGGTTTACTTAGGTAGCATAAAGGTGAGAAATTCAGTTATTTATTCCAGGCTAGAGACTCAAAGCATTATAAGTTGTTGGCAACTTGGTGCCCTGGAAAAACAGACTGCCAGATCTTTTTCATGAAAAGCTTTTTGCCACTCACAAAAGATATGAAAACCTTCATACCAATTACCCGATTCAATAAAAAACTAGGATTCTAGCATCAACATGTATAATAAAAAGCCTATACCTACTTTCACCAGTACCCAGAAATTCTTGTTGCATTTCTTCAAATGCTTCTGCCTCTGATGAAATAGGGGCTGCTTTTTGAACATTCTTCTGGTAGGGTTTATACACAACTTTGTAAGGCTCCAAAGATTGGCTGTTGGTTTCTGAACCACCATACTGCAAATTTACAAACACAATTTATAAGTGCTATGTGCTTAATTTTAATCATAAAGTGCCGATAGATTCTGTGCCATTTGTTTATTGTGAAATTTATTTGCCACCTATCTCATGTCAAACAATTCTGTCAGTATCATTTCTTAGCAACTACATAAATTTTTCTCCACAATGCCCATAGTAAAAAACAGCTGAGTTCAAATAGAACACCCAAGCAGCTCATTAATCATTCTGCAGAAAATGAAAATGGTTTTCTGTGTAGCAAGACAAGCTACTAAAAATCAGAGGTTTTTATTTAAGAAAGTTTATGAAGGCCTATTCATTCTTGGAGATAAGCATGATACCAGAAGCTTCAGCATGTCAGTTTCTTATTTTTAAAATTACTTTTTTAAAAAAGAAAAGAAAAATATCAGGCAAACAACCTGGTAATTAACAGATGAAGTATTAACAGGAACAAACCAGAGTCTCAAGCCCCACCCAAGCTACATCAGGATGAGTTCTTTCTCAAACAAGCTCTAATTTTATATTCAAAAGTCATGAATGAACAACGCAGAAGTTATAATTCCATTTTGGTTTAATTCTGGAACGCCACTAATTGAGTATGAAAACCGGGACACAGCCAAATAATGAAGGGTCATCCACACAGACCTACCTTTAAGGGTTCCTGCGGAGGATCAACGAAGTTTGTTACAATGCCATGCTGGTTACTGAAGTCTTGCTGGGGGCCATTTGTGAAGGCTCGAAAATTGGACGGCAGAGTAAACACCCCGTTTTGTGGGTAATGGCTGGGTGCTTTGAAATCATCTCCAAGATAGACATCTTCAGATCCATTTTCACTGGCCCTGCCAGAGATCTCAAACATGCTTTTATCTTCAGCCTCGTTATGATGGGCAGGCCAGTCACTTGCACACATTTTACTTGGGGCGTGTCCTTGGTCGTACGCAAAGCGGTCGACAAACATATTCTGGTCCTGCCCATAATCCTGAAAATGAACAGTTTTCTGTTAGATAATGTGACTGATATTAGCATACTAGTCATGTGAATAAAAGAGGGGACACATTGAAGTTAGGGAATAAGAACTAATAAAATGTTAAATTTACTCATTTATTAAATGATCCTTCAATTGAAGATGACTCCAAGCGTAACTGAGTGGAGGGTTGGACTAGATGACCTCCAAGGCACCTTCCAGCTGTTATTCTGTAATTGCCAGGATAGCAACTAGCATAAAAGCTCTCAGGTGCAGTATCAGGAAGAACCACCAGTATTATTTATTATTTCAGACACTTAACAGACTCCTCCATGCCTTCAGCAGTAACAAGAGCTTCTAATGTACTGCCTTTACTGCAAAAATTGGGGCTATGAATGTATCTTCCTTGAGAATAGCTGGTGATGGGCTATATGGGGCAGGAAATGTTTTACAAAATTGGCCAAATTTCAATTCTGTGAGAGTCATGAGCCCCAGATTTTGGACATATTCTGTAAGTTAGCCCATTTGAGATACCTAGGTTCAAAATATATTGCCATACAGTGCACCATTTAACCCTGTTAAAGGTTACAAACAGGAAAGGACAGAAGAGAGACAGGCAGGCAGATAGAGATATAAATAGATGATAGAGATACAGAAATAGAGATATAGATAAATGACAGATGACAGATGATAATGGCATACTAGGTAGGTAGGTAGATGGATAGATAATAGATAGGTAGACAGACAGACAGGCAGATAAAGCACCATATTTAGCTTCTAGCAAATCAGACAGAACAATATTCATTTTGAATGACCCAGGAGATCTTGTAAGCTTGTACAAAATAAAACTCACACTTGATGGGTTTGTTGCAATTGGGCGATCATTCCATTGGGCGGCATCCTGATCCCAGGGCTCATGCGCTCTATACAGGGAAAAAGGGAGGCTTAGAAACCTATTTGTTTGAAGAGTCTTATTGTGATGTGACACACACACACACACACATAGGGTAACTACATTTTTCCTGTTAGATTCCAGAAGATAATGTGTGCATGCTGTTTGAATGCAATTGTGTAATTACAACATTTTTCAGAGCTAAGAGGGAGGGAGGCAAGTGACAAGTTTCTTACTGCTCATGTTCTTCAGGTGCACTGTAGTCAGAAAGCTGATCCCCGCTGTCTTCTAGCATGTCATGAGGAAGGTCTATCAACAGCTGTTGTAGCTGAAAGGAAAACACAAATACCTAGTACTAAAACATAACTTGCCTACTCTCTAGACTTTAATACCAGAGGAATTTGCATTAAAAGTACTACCTTAATGATGTAGCTACAAAGGCAATCTAATGGTTGCTATTTGGCTGTTCTGCCACAAATGTTTCAGGTAAGAAAGGAAATTAGGGAACTTAAAGAGTCATTATACAAATACATTTATGAAAGCTGGCTACTTGAATAACTAGCGCATGTGCAGCTTTGAGAACTGTGTTTTAATCAATATTTTTTAAAAAATGGATCCCTTTTCAGTTTGCTATTGTCTTGCCAAGAGACCCAGCTTCGAGAGCTATATTTTGATCAACTTATTCAATATGACATTCTGCTATCAGAGATATTTCAAGGAGCCTTGGTGGTGCAGTGGTTAGAACGCAGTATTGCAGGCTAACTCTGTTCACTGCCAGGAGTTCAATCCTAGCCAGTTGACTCAGCCTTCCATCCTTCCAAGGTGGGTAAAATGTGGACCCAGATTGTTGGGGGTAATTTGCTGACTCTGTAAACGACTTAGAGAGGGCTGTAAAGCACTGTGAAGCAGTATGTAAGTCTAGGAGCTATTGCTATGAGCCTGGATATGCAATTAAAGTACCTCTGATTAATTATTTTATTCTCAGATATAATCAAGAACACCAGGGTGAGCCAATCTTAATTCTTTCGTATGAGTTTTCCTTTCCCCAGGGGTGCTGATCCCCCTTCTCAACCACATAGCCTCTACCTGTCTCACACATGCAATCACTGCTTAGCTCAGGCATTGTGAGACAATTGCAATTAATGCAGTTCAGTGTATTTTTGATCCCTGGTCTTTGACTGCCAGTAAACTTCAAACAAACAAGCCGTTCAGTTTGTGAGTAATATCGTGGCATGTATTAAAATCACTGTATTGTTGTGAGAGACGGTCTGTCTCTCAAATTTGGAGTAGATGCTAATACTCAACTTACACTTTTTAAGCAGAAGCAAAATAGTACCAAATCTGTGCAGGACTAGTCTTTTGTGAGGAAAGGCAATGGATCTTTCATGTACAATGTTCTCCAATTACAATTTATTTAGTGTCTGTTCAAAGTTACAACGGCACTGAAAAAAGTGACATATGACCATTCTTCACACGACCATTGCATCATCTCCCTGGTCATGTGATCAAAATTCAGGCACTTGGCAACTGACTCATATTTATGACGGTTGCAGTGTCCTGGAGTCATGCGATCTCTTTTTGTGACCTTCTGACAAGCAAAGTCAACAGGGAAGCCACAATTCACTTAACAACCGTATAAGTTGCTTAACAACTGCAGTGATTCACTTAACCACTGTGGCAAGAAAAGTCATAACATGGGCCAAAACCCACTTGACTGTCTTACTTAGCAACAGAAATATTGGGCTCAATTGTGGTCATAAGTCAAAGGCTAGAGCTGTACTATCTTTCCTCGCCAGTTCCCTTCATTTCAGCTATTCGCTATTCAGTTTATTTAGAGCAAATTAAACAGATTTTCAAAAAACCTTCTGTACTTACTTGGTGCAAAGAGTCCTGAATAGAATATACCTGTTCTTCTAAACCTTCTGTGAGATTTTGGTACATAGAATGGATTTCAACTAATACATCTGTGCAGTACATTTTCTTTTTCTCACAACATTACTAGAAAACTGCATATAATAATATAAGCAGTTATCAGATCATAATCTACCATGTTTCTTTCCAATGGAGCCTGTAACGTGTTTATTAACTGGGGGCAAATAAAACAGCTTAGAAGTAAGATGAGGACAAGCTAGAGAAATAAACTTTATGTAAAGTTCCTCTGTTATCAAAACCTGGATAACTCCTGGCACCAAAATTAGCAGGAAAATCACTGACTTTTCTGATTACTTTCAAATAAATCTTATTTCACACTAACACAATTAAACTCAGCACAATGAGGGAAACACCTAAAGTCCTGCCATATCTATATTAATCTTTACTTTTATTTATACGCTAATTATAATAAAGTAAGGAGAGAAAAAAATAACTTTTAACAACTGCATCAGGTAATATACCACTCCATAATTCTCCAAGACCAAATCTATTTCAAATAGCATTGCTAAAATAAAATAAGTGCATCTACAAGCCTTTCTGTGATATATTAATCTTTCTAATGTCCTGTACCAAACATATAAAATTCTAAGAGGAATCCCTGAGATGCAGCAAAATTCTTAACAAGAGACATTTTCCCACTAGCCTTTTCACAGAATAAAATTAAAATTTATAAAATACACATATTGAACTACTGCATAAAACACCATACATGTCTCCATTCTACCCACATTACTAAATATTCCAGACAAGAAGCATAATTCAGAGATTGTTGCAACAGCAGATAACCTGGAGATGTACAGAAGCTTTAGTCAGAAGAAATGAGCAAGGGATTTTTATTCAGATTTTAAAGGAGCAGCTTGATTAAGGCTGACATCATGAGAAATCAAAGAGTAAATTCAAGCAGATTATGATGTCACAGAAACATTATCTTTCCAAGACAGCATTAGCTTTAATGAAAAAGTAGCTGGTGAAAGCTTCCAGAAATAAGTGATGTCTAACTTCTCTAAATTGAATCCAAGTGAAATTATGGCAGGCAAAGATTTGATAGCAGACAGAATTGTTAACACTTCTGACAGGTAATTCTTGCCAACAGGTAATTCTTACCTCTTGCTCCCTAGCATAATCCTCTTGGTCATATTCGTCCTCTTCATGTTGCATCTGTAAAGCTGCACTGTCAAAATCCAGCGACATCGTTCCCAAATTGTTTCTTGGGCCACCTGGGAAAAATAGCTATTCTAAAATTCCATGTGCAATTGATTAATCCTATAAGGCTTTAATAAAAGAATGCCAAATCCAATGTAACATTTCAGTCCACAAGTATTTTGTAACTCTTATTTTGGTTCCTCAACTTTTAATCACTGAGCTCTTGATTTTCAGGTTCACTTGTGCAAGCAGATACTGTACAAGTATTACCACCTGCGTTAAATCACACTTGTTCAAAAATAGGAGCTATTTAAAAGATTGCCCCGTCCCAATTCATTGATCCCTTATTTATATATCAATAACCAGTTTTAGTGGATTAAAAGTGGCATATGTTATTACCTTATTTGTGAAATAAAATACAAATGGTTTCTTGTATCAAGGCACAGAAGGTTAACCAAATCCTTCTGATTTACTTAGAATGCACAGAAGAGGCTAAAAACTAGAATCTTGTAAAATTAAATCAAGAAAGCTGCCAAACCAACTCAGTGGATCTCCTTCAGATGCAGCTTGAGAACAGTAACAGTAGCCTATTCCAACTCATAATAGTGGCTATTTATTATTATAGGGAGTTTGGCTTCTTCTTAGATGTTGGACACCCATCCAGAATTCTTTGGGATTGGGGAGGATTAGAAATATGGTTAAAATTAATTATATATTGGCTTTAATTAAATAATTATATAAATAATTGATAACATTTCCATCTGTCAATTACAAAAGACCACAGCTTGGATCTGCACATATACTATGCAGATACATTATGACATCCTAGATTCTTGAGAAGAACTTCATGCAAATGAAGGCCAACACCAACTGGGAGTTGCGATTTCACAACGCGGTCCATATAATAATAATATATCTGAAGAGTCCTTGGTGCTCTCTGAGCTTGCTTGTTTTCTTGCAAACGTTTCATTACTGGAACTAGGTAACACCATCAGTGCTAGTAAGGAGTGCTTGTTTGCTGTCAGTTTATATACTCTGGTGTCTTGCCTGTCTGTGTGGGTAGGGGCAGTTTCTTGATTGGGGTATTGCTTACTTGATTGTTGGACTGAAGTTAACCTTTCAACCCTGAGCTACAAATATTCTTCTTTATTAATAATATATCTGGCTGACTGTGCTATCAACCATAACAACAATGGTTGGAATAGAAGAGAAAGAATTGGAGAAGAACACAAAATACAAAGACCTTCAAATAGAAATGGGACAATTGTGGGGATAGAAATAGAAAAGAATAGAATAGAGAAATAATAGGATAGGGAAAGGGAATGGGAAGGAATGAAATGGAATGGGATGGAATGGAATTCTTTATTGGCCAAGTGTGATTAGACACACACTGAATTTGTCTTCGGTGGATAAGCTGTCAGTGTACATAAAAGATGATAAATCATGATCACAGTCATCATAAATACAAAGATACGTAATCCAATAAAATATAAATACAAAGATATGCAAAGATAGCCCCAATGGTAAGAGGCACCATAGGTGCAATTCCAAAACATCTGGAGCATCACTTTGAACACCATGGGCATTGTCAAAATCACCATCAGTCAACTTCAAAAGGCAAATCTATTCAAAACAGCTTCCATCCTGAGACCTTTTTAACCTGGTCAAACATCCACATCTGCCTATCCCAGATCCTTGGATAGGACTCAACAGGTGGATAATTTAGTATCCAAGACTATCACTAAGTGTTGTATTTAATGTTTTATGATGAATGTATTTTTACAATGACTATGATCATGATCTATCACTATTGTATGCATACAAGCAACAAACACTGCTAAACAACTCATTCCCACAACACTGTCAAACTATTTAGTAAGGCTATATTACTATTCTTCTCATCTTTCCATATTCATATCTCCTTTTCTACTTATGACTATAACTTTGCTGCTTGTATCTTTACCATTTATATTGTTTTAGTTTCCTAGTATGATTTATCTTGATTGCTTATTTAGTATAACCCTCAAAACGACTCTATAGGGCATTGCACACTAGAACAACTAGACACAAGAACAGTTTTTCCCCGCATGCCATCAGTCTGCTAAACAACTAATTCCCACAACACTGTCAAACTACTTACTAACACTGTATTACTATTATTCTTCTCATCCTTCCTATTACCTATCTCCTCATACTTATGACTATAACCATGTTGCTTGTATCTTTACGAATTACATTTGTTTCCTGGTATGATTTGATTGCTAAAAGATAGATAGATAGATAGATAGATAGATAGATAGATAGATAGATAGA